CAAGCAAGACCTTCTCCAACCAAAACGTTACGAGCAGCCAAATCGCGGTGAATTATCTGGTTCAAGACAATCAGAATATAAGTTTTATTTGACTATGAGCTCATCGTGTGTTATTAGCGGAGATCCCGCGTGGGGCACCATAGCTACGAAGAATGTTCATCGAGTCCATTTTTCATGGAACGACACAGGGTTCCCACGCGTAAGCACGTTTCCTTCAAAACTACTTCCGTCTGTAATCCATACTCCCTGCGAAAAGGAAGAACAAATCCGCCAAAATATTTGATGAAACACCGAAATTTTTCCCCAAACAGAACATTTATCTTCGAAAATGATATAATAGTAGAAAAATTAATAGAAAGAAAAAAATCCACCGGAGAGCGAAATCAAAGCACGGAAATATTCCCGCCAATTTTCAATTTCCATAAATTTCCATAACCACGACGCGTCCGCACATCCGGGAAGTTGATTTATAAAAAACAAAGTTTTGAGGCTGATTTTGAGAAATAAGTCAAAAGGAAAACAGTAAGCTTATGTTTTTTTGCTTTTGGTTCGACAACAGGAAAAGATGATGCTGTATTGGAAATACTGCAAAAATATGGGAACGATCTGTGTGAGAACTCTTTTATCGAGAAGTGTGAAGCTTTAATACATGTAATTAAGTATGATGCTGTTGGAGTGAGATGATATTTCTAAACCGGATAATTTAATAAGGCGAGTTTGTCATTGGTTGCCTCAGCGTTGCTTTCTAATTCAGTTTTACCCATGATGAACAGCGACTATCTATTTATCAAGGTAAAATACGTAAGCTTAAGATATTCTTGTACAGTTTGCGGTGAAGGCCGGTTTCAAAAATCGATCTTTTGCCACATGTAATATGATTGCTTGTACTGTAGACTATTTTTTGCCGAGGAGTTCAATCAATTGACAGATTATAAGTTCGTCCAACTGAACAAAATCTACTAAAGTCAATAAATTCGAAGTACGCAATTCTCATGAACATACCTTAAAACATAACATAAACTTTCTGAGCTAATGTAATACTTAAATATGTTTAATATATTTGTTTGCATGTCAACAAAAGATGTTGTGCTTACATTGTGTTTACCCTTACTAAGGCTATCATGAAATAGAGTACTAGATAATCATTCATTTCTTTTTGCCATTGGAGCTCCGCTATTAGGTGTTACCTAATTTGTATACTTAGTTTAGTAGTAGTTTGTATATGAATGGGTAGATCAACTGAGGAACCGAATTCTGCGCACTGGAAGAGTACCTTCTGAGAAGCAAGATACGCCATTCCATCAGCAATATTCCAACCAAACCGTAAAAGCTGCTGGGACGAAAGGTTGGTGTTGGGTTGGATTTCAGGATCAGAATAATAGTCATCATTCTCACCACGACTCTT